CTGCATAAATTTAATGAATACGAGATCTCGGCCTAAGAGCTATATACAGTGGAACTACAAGCTTGGCATTGACAACAAAACTACGATGTACATACTTTGAAACGATATGTGTACATAAGAATCAGTGTGTATGTATGTATGTACTGGCGGCTATGATAAGGAATCCCGAATCAAGTGCCAAAGAAAAGGGAAGAAATATCGAACTTTAGAGAAAAAAATATGCCCTGGGCTTCGTAATTCTGTTGTGTAGGGTGGGAGGCCAGTGTATCTGTGTTTGAGATTTCACTATATCTATAGATAATATGGAGTCATATATATTACGAAACCAGCAAAGAAAATGTAGCTTTACCAAACCACCCAAACAATCACTGTAGAAACCGAGCTAGATGGCCCAGCAGTATAGTGAAGTTATCCTTATACCGACAATCGCTTAAGCGCAATTGTTTAACCCCATAGACATAGTACGCTCTAGCGAAAATATTACCAAAGTCCCCCCTTTATATGAACAGCGAAAACACAGCATCAAGCACCGATATCTATATCGATAGAGTGCATGCGATAAAAGGCCATTTAGTGATCTGTATGCACTTTCTGGAGAGAGATTATATAATCTACACCGTTTCTAAACAGAATAAATAGATTAAAAAAACATCAATAGTATGTTGTAGCGATTATTCGGATCGAGTGATATACCATGATCAACATCAACCTCGACAATAGCTTCCATGCGGACAGGTGCGGACAGGTGCGGACAGGTATTTGACTCAGTGCATGTTCTATCTGGAGCTTTAGATTTAAAAGCTACATACAATACATACAAAAAATAAACACAAAGATAAATCAGTTAAACATCCCATTGCATAGTTAACACCTAGTACAAATTAAAAACAAACCTAATAATTAAAAACAAAGCCCCCGTCAAGGGGTTTTGGCCCATGCTCACACTATCACCGCGTTCTCTCTTATCCCTCTCTCTATCTCCACCACTGGTAAATCCCCGCCATTCGCCCCCTTCTCCACATCTACATCCACCGCCCCCCCCTCTTCTTCATCCACCGTCGCCGCATCCACCCCGCTATCTCCACACCTCATCGGGGCGCCGCCGCCGCCAAAAATCTTCCTCCCATCCTCTTCACGTGCGCCTCCATTGCGTTTTTCCCATACCCAGAAACTTCGCACTAGGCTCCTCAGCACTGGCAGACAGAATGCGATGGTGGCAGTCGATATCTCGGCCGTTGTCCAGACCTTGATGATCTCGATCTTGTAGATTGCACCGTCAACATCCTGCTCCTGTCGGTAGGCGCTATATATGAACGCCCATCGTAGTACAGACGCTGTTGTGGAAGCGATGCCGACGAGGAAAACGAAGGTGAGAGCGAAACCTTCGCGTGGTTGGAGCTTGAGTGTTTTTAGGATGAAGAGGGGGAGGCCGAGGACTAGGAAAGTATTAGTAGGTAGTTTCATTATTTGTTTTCTAGATTGGATTTGCTTACGGAGGAGGTCTGTGGCAACGTTTGTAAACGTATTTGCGGTGAGACTAGGAACGGAGCGGAAGGTGGTGCAGTTGTGGGGGCCAGAGGTCCCTATAAGGTGTTGATATGAGTATAAATATAAACAACCAACACCCCCTCAAATAAATTCTAGATTTCTCTTACAGTTTGTTTGAATTGGCAGACAGTATAGCCCATGAAGGAGCATATTTGCCACATATGTCATGGCCGTGAAACCCGTTGTAAAATACAACGCCATCCGCACCCTCGTCTTGAGCGCTGGTATCAAGCGATAATATGTCGCCAGAAATGCCGACTTGATCAACCAGAGTATCGTCACATATGCAAACCCTCCCATAAAATGCAGCTACTCCCCACGCGTATCAGTCTTGTTACATTTCTCTCTCCCATAGCTCACTAGAAACAATACACAGCAACATACAAAATGTCCCTTTTCCGTAATTGGGGGCGCAACCCCTCGACTGTCTTCATCGGCTCTCTCCCAAGCCAGCAGCGCAATCCGCGTCTTAGTTGATAGTGCGACCCACGTCACAAACATTGTTGTGCTGATGATGATGCTGGTGTTTGCCCAGATGTCGGAGCGCTCGATTTCGCGGCGGAGACTGCGCTGGTGCCAGAGACGTAGACCGATGAAGATTAGGACAGCGACGCAGGAGAATATGTCGAATGCAATTCGGGAGACGATCAATGAGTCCTTCATTATGAACTAGCTAGCTAGTTGAATGATCGAGCTTGCAATATTTCTTAATAGGGGAGCCTTGGAATCCTGCTGCGCTGCAGTAGAGAGGTTATGTATATATTTGGGCGCTGAAGTACTACTATTGCTGCTAGCTGCCCTGTTTGATCCAAGAAAAGCCTACGTAGTTCGTAGTTCTCTCGTGGAACGAGTATATGTATATATGATGGACTGATCTTCCGCTTCCTGGCCCATGGTACGATATCGCGGGTATGTGCTGCGGCGGGAAGTCTAAACTAAACTAAATAAATCTCCGCCGTGAGTCGGGGGATGCGGACGGTTTTTATATGTAGTTTTATATTGACTCAGTTGTCTATTTTATATCCTCCCCTGCAGAACGGCGATTACAGAAGCGGTGCACCTTGTGATGTGCTGTAGCAACTCGGAGCAGAGGTAGAGTGGAGTAGATTAGATTACATGTGTGCGTGTCGTGTGTGTGTGTCCCCTTGCCTCGGTCATAGTTAGAGAGAGAGGCGGAGGGGTGTTTGGTAATCCTTGGGGAAGAAAGGGGAGGGCAAAGAGTTGCTATTGCGTATTTGAGAGATCTGTATGCTGCTTTCTAGAGAGCGCTGTTTGTATACGTTGTTGATAGGAGATTATTTTGTCCTACAACGGCGGCGGATCTTCATATCGTCACTTCGTACCGTAACGGCGGATCATCTTCGTATTGTAACTACTCCAGTCCTCTTAGCACCTGAGTTATGTTAGAAGAACCATTCAGACCGAGTTAAACTCTTGATATGGTCACCATGATCAACAGCCAACTACATTTGTTCTCAGACACGAAGGACCCGGTTCGTTAAAGATTTCCTAGTTTAGAGAATAGTTGGTTATTAACCAAGAACTAACGTCACTACCGCCCGTTACAATACGTTAGGACTCCGAGCAAGGGAGAGAGGGGAAACGACAGCGAGAAAGAAGCCTTTTGAGCACAGGGCGCAATTCGGTAAATCCTTTGGTGGTTATGCATTAAGCGCGGCGCTGCGGATTGTGCATGAGACAGACAGCCGAGGTTATTAATAGTGACGATAAATTATCTTGTGCGATAAGGCATGTATGTAGATAGGCCCCGGGTTGGGTAGCAGGATAGAGTAGAACTATGAGATCGGGTGTAACAGGTGGGATATGGTGATGGGGGTAATACCAGGTTTGAATTTTTGATCATTGACGTCGACGTATGAAGTACTGAGGTAGAAAGCTTAAGTAAGACAAGGGTATGGATTAAAGCCATATTGAGAGCCACCAACTACATGTAATAATCAGACAACTAGGTAGTAGGGAGTACAGAACCTACAGCTGAACAAAAGGTGAGTTGTGATACTCAGTGACGGTGTACCTAGGCAGATGAGTAATGGTTTATGTACCTAAATCCTCTTCTCATCCTCATTTCCCATCTCTCCCATACGCATGTAAGCGTTCCTGGATGTACACATCAGTGCGCATACTTAGAACCTCCAATAATTGGTCGATACTGGCGAGCTCTAAGGCACAACACCTCATGTGTAATCACAACCCACATTTTTCTCATCTCGCATCTCACCCTTAAAATGCCTTTTCCCTTAGCTAATAACCAGCCAGGGGATCCAGACGGAAAGCCTAAAATCTCATGTCGTTAAAGCACAGTCTGAGTGTTCGTCTAAACTTGTAGGTGGAAATATTGAAAGCCTTGATTTTTTAGGGCAGCATTCTGCCCTGTGACTCTGCTGAGATGGGCTCCAACGCGTCCCGGAAACCAATTTCGCGGAACTACCAATCATCCCATTGAATGCCTAGCACTGTCCTTGATTGGACGTTCGACTATCCCCTGTCATCCGCCTCAACAACTCATGGACATCGAGGCCTGAGTACTCTATCTACGTACGTACTTACGTACATACGTGGGCAGATTATTACTATATATTGATGGAGATGATCATGATTCTTATATTAGTTGGATTATTTTGATTTACGCTGGTTCTTTTTTTATTCTTTTATTTTCCCCCAACATTGCTGGGATATTCGAACTTGTCCTGACCGGGCTCACGGCTCTTTCTACGGAGAATGGTTCCTAAATTTCTGATTGGTCATAACCGTAAATGGTCCTGCGGAAAGTGCGGAAAAGTATAAAATTGTTTCGGGGAGTCGTGTTGTCTCAGTTGTTTTCATTACTTGTTGGGACGACGTTTCCGGTTTATTGGTCGTTTCAATTCCCTCCTGGAGTAGTTGAGCCTTTATGTATGTATAAAACTCTGGACTTATAATATTACGAGAAATATCTCGCTGAATTTGTTTGTTATGAGGCTATGATCCGATCGCCACAGTCAGTTGATTGGGGGTTTGTATTGTCGAATTGGTAAGGTATGACTCGAGACACTTTGAAGCGGCTGTGTAAAAGTTAGCATTTTAAATAACCCTTAACCTGTGCAATTAAAACAATTTAGGTAACAAATCTTCGACTTACTGCGGATATAACCTTAGAAGTTGATACCCGTTCGATCCTCAAGTTGTAGTTTAATTACCGTCAATGGTAGATCATCCGTATCTATGGCACTGATACATAGATAGATTTCAGCTATTAGCGAGACTTGTACAGCTTAAAACAAATATTAGTGGTAATTTGCGGGCGAGGAATACGTATTTCAGAATTGTGTAGTCCTGATACCTCTACAAACCCTAACCCTATCATGTTGAGGTTTTCAAGTCTGCGTCACTCAGCAACATTCACCACCGTCGATCGCCTTCCGAATTGATAGAACGCAACCAACATTTCAAAAATGGCTACTCCCACAGATCAAACATGCTCAGCAGAGTTCCTGCAAGAGCATGTAGAGCTTGTGGGTTTCTCCCAGATGCATCCATCGGCTTTCACCCTGGCTTGAGCTTCCCCGCAGTAGTAGCTAACATGCAGTCCACCTCCCCCACTGCAGATTTGGTCGCAGATTCGGGAGAACAGCCCAATATACCAATTTGCGTTAGAGAAGGTTGTTTATCTTTAGTACCGGCCCAGCCTTGCCTTTGAATTGTGGTTCTGACGCAAGGTTTGAAAACTGTCAGATCAAGATCAACTCGGTCGAGAAGGGCGCTGTGAAGGCGGGGCTACGGGTCGAGAAGAAGCACTTGAACTCAAAGGGGTTCCTGCACGGAACGGTCAGTACATGTTTGATTGACTGGATGGGGAGTATGGTGATTGCTTCTCATGGGTTGGAGAAGACGGGGTTGAGCACCGATATTCATGCAACGTATATTGCGACGGCCCAGGAGGGAGATATGTTGTTGGTGGTGGGACAGGCATCGAGGGTGGGCAGGAGTTTAGCGTTTTTGACGGTCAATATTTCGAAAGTCTTGCCCAGTGGAGAGACACAGATTGTGGCGACGGGGACGCATACGAAGTACATCAAACAGTAGGGTAGGGTGAGGTATTGATAGAGGATGGAGTTGACTTGGGTAGGGATGAAGCGGGGTTAGGAATAGAGTTTGGATTCATTCTAGAGGTTTGCTCCCGAACGTTTGAGCATTCGTTCCGTTTAGCTGCTTCAGTATAATCAAACAGAAAATCTTTCCTTCATCTCCGCAATGTGGATATCAAATTTCTCGCTCTTAGAAAGTTCCTGACTGTGTAAATTCTACAAATAAACTCAATCTTTAATTTCTTGCATATTTCCATGATAAGTCGTACATGTCATATTGGCTACATGTAGCTTAGTACCATTCTAGGAGATATTTGTTCTCAGAGGGTAGAGACACGGCAGGAGGGCATAAGTACTTCCATCCTCTTCATAGAGTAATTCCAACTCATTTATCTCTGTTTCATAGGTCCCCCCACGTTCCCACCCAAACGCACTTCCCACTTCATTTTGCTTGGTACTACTGGATTCAATCGTAGGGCAGGTACGGTAACAACTCCATCCCGGTTGCTTCAATTTAAGTTTTCAAATGTCTCGTGCTGATCTTCCCTTCTAGAACCCTATCTTCGTTCTGTTTGGGACATGGAATCTACAACAAAGCACCGGCACCCGCTGTAGCGGTTTCCTACGTCTCGCATCTCGCTCGCCCCCCCCCCCCCCGGGGGGCCCTCTTTCCCCATACTCATAACCGGTATTTCTCAGGCTCGCTCCTCCCTAACCTAGGTTTCCAATCTAACCCTGGCCCTAACAACTCCTGTTTCCTCTCTATAGCCGCCGAGATTCATCTCGCGCCCTGATTCCTCTCTGAAGATCATTGAACTCGATTCTCCGTAGGATGATTTAATTGCTCTGTTTTTTTGGCTGAGAGATAGAATTTTACCCTGGAATTGTCTGTGTATTTCTTGATTGTCCAGAAAGGACTTGGACCCCTTGGCGATGCTCCTCGTTGCATATCATCTTGGAAAATTAGATGGATATGGGTATTGGCCACAACTAACGAGATTGGTCTTCAGGCTTGTAAAGATCTGCAGAGTGACAACTTGTGATTGAAGGACAATGTATTACGAAGCTTACTTTACCCCTGCCCGCAAGGCAGGAAGGTCATCGTTGGTTGATGCCGTGAGGCCACGGTGCTGGTGTATGGTCAAGGAAAAAGCAAACACCACTTATCACTCGCTTTGCATTGCCGCGCCACACAACTATGCAGCGTGCGTGTTGGTTGCCTGCTTACAAGCCACTGGCTTTGATCAATTGAGCCAGTGATCATACATATGAACTTGGGGTGGATGGGGGGTTGGCAGGAAAAGGTCTCGATCTGAGGAAGTTATAGATGTGCCTATTAAGGACCAGGGTACCTCTGCTGCTGCGAACCTTTATTTGTCGAAAATGTCTTTGATATCATCGCCTCCACTAAAATTACCGCGCGTGAAATTTGCATATGAGCTGGCACATCAATGCAGGAACATTGTCCACGAGATCGATACAGCACTCTGAATTCGCAAGAATAGGAAAGAAAAGAGCTGGCCTTTACAGGTTTCATGCCAACAAAAAAAATGTCATTTTACTGCAACTAGGACTCGATTTGTTCACAATGTAGCCACGTCCGGCGGAAGTGTGCCAACCACCGGTTTCCCAGCATAACGAATGAGTGACCACTTATGAACCACGATGACGAATAACCGTCGAGGAAGTTGGAGACGATGTGGAGATTTTTCCGGAAACACCCATGCGCTCCACGATCCAGTAGTTCGGTGGTTGACCAAACAATGTTATTCCGAGCCAATCGTTCGTGCGCCATGTCTCATATGCGCGCAATGTATTTCAGATTTCACACTTTTCCTGCTTCAGCCCCCGCAACAGTAAATAACGGGAGGAAAAATAAAGTTCCCAAGACCTTCAATACAGGCATGTGCAGGCATTTACGATGTGTTGAGGTTAACCACTTAGACTGCGAGGTGTGCACCTTGGCTATTTGGAGTAACCCTCCAGACGCCCGGAACACAACCAATGATCTGCAAGTCGAAAACCAGGAAAAGACTATGCTGCCTGAGCTCGAGCGTTTTCTGGCGAGCTTGTGGAACAGTTGTTCATCTTAACCCCTTCTCATCAAGTCTTCTCCTCGAGTCCTTCTCCTCCTTCTTCTTTCTGCTCTTTCCCCTCTTTTGCTACTTCTTTCCCCTCCTTCCGTCATAAACACGGAATGAATAACCCGGTTTAAAACTATGAGACGACTCGATATATTCTTACTTCTCTTCGCAACGTCGGCCTGGGCAGCGGAGCTACTAGTTTTCAACGATTCAACAGGCCTCCCCGAATGCGCCTCCCAATGTTCAACCCTCACTACTGCGGAAGCCGAATGTGCCACAGCTACGGGGTCAGAACAACTAAAATGCTTCTGTGGTATTAGCTCGCTACTTTGGAATCATCAACACTGGGATGGATGCAATGATGCTTGTGCGGATGGTGCGGACAGGGAGAGGATTGATGATTGGATGGAAGAGATGTGCGGAGGTGATGATATTGAAGAGGAGTGGGTGGACAATGGGACCATTACGGACCCGCACTCAATCATAGGCGATATCAGTCCAAGCGATATTGAAATTGACTCTGCGGAGAAAGCTGCTGCTCATGACTCTAGAGTTCGACAATGGTAAGCCCTCGCATCCCCTTCCTCACCTTTCAACTATAAACCTTTTTAACAAAAACAAAAAAGGTGGCGCCGAAACTACCCGTTCTTCATCCTTGCCTTTCTCATGATCACCATTCCGATCCTCTGCTACGGTATAGCGATCCCAATGAGGAGATGGGCCAAACGCCAATTAAACCCTCGACCGGATGATAACATGGAGGATATTACACCCTACAAGTCTATATTTGCCTCAACAGGTTCTAGACATAGTCAGGCGCCCTTTATAACTACAACCATAAACGGAGAACATATAATCACTATCCCTCAGGAGCAAGTTCTAGTTGCAGAACCTCCTCCGAGTACGGCCGATATCGAAGCCAGCGTTCGACAAGACAGCTGGGAAGCAAGAGTGAGGGACCAATTCGAGACGAATAATTCTAAATCTCTGAAGGAAAGATTGATGTTTTGGAAAAAATAAATTTGGGGACCTCGCGGTCAGGGTACTATATTATTTATACATTGGATAACGGAGGAGTTTTTTTTTATTTATTTTTATTTCATTTGAATCTGGTGTTCGTTTTTTCTTTTTCTTGGGTGGGGGTTTCTTATTGCTGTTTTTCTGTTTTTCTCTATCTAATGACTGCCTGCCCTTCGAGTATTTTGCTTCCTTTCTTGCTTGGGCGTACTTGTGTCCTGATAGGACGAGATTGGGGCTTATGATGAACTTGTTTGTCAATCCTTTGTATTTATATTCCTGACATGATTTTAATGACTGTGTTCTTTATTTGACATTTATATTGTCACCCCTTTCTTTACTCTTTTTGCAAGACTATGCTAAGCAATTCCAATTCTTTGTTTTCCGACAATTCTGTCGGACATGTCAGTTATATAGGTAGTTGTCCACGCCGCGTTGCAATGTTCACTGTTAATCTACATGTGTTTCCTATTTCAAGTGCTAGCTAATGACTTAATTACTCCAGTCATTCATCTTAAAAATCCACATCTATCAATAACCTACCGAGGCAATATCTTCTTCACAAACATTAAGCAGAGAAATTGTACTTCATGCACTCTTCCTGAAGATTTGCCTCCCTGCAGTGTCCCTTGCGTCAAGCCGGTACGTACAAATATAGTCACCGTGCAGAAATCATAAATCAAATTAAAGCGATGATTTAAGCTGTTGCTGATGTTGCTAGCCGTTGTACAGCCTTGGCCGGTGGCGGAATCATGAAATTGCACTCGCTTGTGTAATACCGGCACAGCGCACTTAAATCTCCAGAAGTAGTAACCCTATAGTAGTTTATACTCGAGAGAACGATGAATTTATGCATTGATAATATCTATTTAATCAAGAATATACATTCTCGGGAAATCTGAAAGCCTTTATTTAACTATACGGAGCACTCTCTACATGTTGTTTAGACGCTAAAACTTATTCACATAGCTCATAGCCCGCAGTTAACTCAGTCAACTAAGAACACTTTCCGCTCTGTACACAATCTCTGTATGCAGCGGCCAGAAGGACCGCAAATGAATTTCCCTCCGGTGAACCTGTATACACCGGGTTTCTATCACCCCACCACAACGGATTGATAGCGGGTCCTAATATTCCATTGGCATCGACACAAGTGGCGATCGTTGCCCGCCCGGCATCGGCCCATTTGCGATACTTGCTTCCAAAGGTTTTGCTGTCAAGGACGTGCATGCGGTAGGCAACTGCTGTGAGAATTGTGGTACCGGACACTTCGCCGAACCAAGTGGCGTCTGTAAGGTAGTTTCTTAGGAGCCCGTTTTCAGTCTAAATGATGATGTTAGTTTTTGTCATGGGTGGATCAAGAGATGTGTTCATAATAATATACCAAGCCTACAGTCATTACTGCATCTAATATTTCTTTGATCTCCTGCTTCAGCTCTGCAATCTCACTTGTCCACCCTTTCGAGATGGGTGCTTTCATCACCGTGGCCAGCACTCTGGCCATCCCAGCAGCAGCCCACCCATTCCCGGTAGACCACGATCCACTATCGGCAGACTGCGGGCCGATGATGTGAGTCCAGAGTCCATCTGGCTTCACCAAAACTTCCCTGTAGAGCTTGGCCTGGCGAACAGACTCCTTGAGGAGAGTAGCGTTGTTAGTTGCCACGGCGTAGTATGCCATAAATGGAGGAGCCATATAGACAAAATCAGCCCTAGGATTTGTTAGATACGGATATCTTATCGCATAAAGAAGGCAGCTTGAGAAATCACCATAGCTCTGCGACATCTTCCCGGTGGCTTATTGCACCATTGGGCCATCGGGGTGCGATGTTGAGAAGATAGTTGATCTCGCGCGCGGAAGCATCCATATACGCTGGATCTGTCCGCCCAATGAGGACCGCAAACGCACCCAGGGACGCTGAATCACCCACGGCACCTACAGATAGCGCTGATCAGTAATTGCCACTCCGAGCTCTTGTGACAATGGAGGGCTCAAACCATCAGCTGGTATAAGAACCGAGGAGTTGAGATATATGTGCTGTTTCGCATATGCCAGCGCCGACACGTCCGCGGGCGGAATACTAGGGATCGGAAAGGGAGAAGATCCAAACACCGAGATTTCAGGATTCTCGAACTCAAGGAGTGCTTCTGCTGCTGTACCATATTCCCAGGAGTGCGTAGCTAGGGCAACCGCTTGTTCTTTAACTTTCTCGACGTCATATCCATAATCAATAGGCTTTGTGCCGTAAGTAAGGGCGCTAACAGATAGAGCAGAGACGAGGACGAGGGGGAGCGAGGTAACAGAGAACATTGTTGAAGTGAGATATGGGTCGACGGTTAAGGATTGACTCTTCTCTGTCGATGGTAATAATGTGGTAGTTGGGAGGAGGTACTTTATAGGTACTTGCACCTACACGGGAATATGAGACAGGCCTATCCTCTCTTGGCCTGTCCCTGTGAGGAACGGGGGTGATTTAAGCTCCAAGATAGGGGTTATTAATAAGTAGAATATATCAAGCCTATTAGCGCAAAATTACCAATAGTGCGTTGATGATTAGACTGAGTGTAGAGATTTTATCTCAATTGAGCTTATTGGTACGCCGCAGACCCGCAGTAACGGATCTGCATCTGTATCCACAGCAAATTTCAGATATGGGGCGTTGGTTGCCCTTTGGTTTGTGGAGTGGTCCTTGGACATGTTGCATTTAGAACCACAGTATCTATCGGCTGTGCCTTTTGTGCTACTGCCTATACCCTGAGGCGAGGTAGAAAAATCCTTGTTGCACACTTTAAGAGAGCCCTTAGTTTCATCGCTACTTAGTGGTCTATTTTCTTTGTTATTCAATGTTTTGAAACTGATTCTCTTCCTCTTCCTCAAGTGCGTAGGAATCTAGCTGATAGCAATGACCGTGCCAAAAAAGCATAAAGTTCTACAGTGCAGTAATGCAATCAAAAAGATTAGGTGAATGTATTTAGGATGAAGTTGGTAAGAAGCTTCATTAGAGCCTGGATTCCACGTGATAAGCACCTGCTCCGCCACAAGATATTAATCATGTACATATATGTAGGTACATGTAGGTACTCGGGCCCGGCACCGAAAATCGTGGTCCTCCTTGTAATTAAGTGTGAGATGTCTGATGCATTTTTACCAAACTGACTTAGCGAGACTGACAAACTAGGTATCTCGCTGACAGACCTTATCCAATGTGGCAGGATTTGCTGACAGCCGATCTTGTCGACATATGATTCAGCAGTCTTTATGTTGGGATATATTAGTTTAGTCATAGGTGTGATCCATGTGGAGTACAAACCGTCGGCTGTGCAAGGAAATCCCATGCATGTATTTGAATTTAAGATTGCAGACACTATTTATAAGTGTGGAGCACTGTACTCACTATCGATCACTCGGATATGTGGGCAGTATTGTTCAGCACGCTAGTTGAGCGGATAAAAGCAAGCGCAAGGGGCGCAAACAAAGCTTGTTGGGGGTTCAGAAATCACCTTCATGAGATAGATCAATTGGTTAGATAAAGACGTATATTATATTGGGGCTTGCTAGTATTGGAGGGACTGACCCAGGATTGATTCGTTTAAGTTGATCACGACACCAGGCTAGAGATAAGGATTCAACCATTGTAGGTATGATCAGCAAATATGGGGAGAAAAGAAGTGCAATAAGATGGGTTAGAAAGAAACGACACCAACTGCAGCCTGCATGTAACGAGAAGAGAACCTTAATTTATCCCACGCTTTTGCTCATTAACGTACACGTGTGGTTTCGTCATAGTTTTGAAGCGTGTCCAACTCAATTTCAGTAACTCCATCACACTAAGAAATACCCTAGAAAGTCACTGATGCGCCAGTCTAGATTTACTTTGTCTGTTGGATTTAATTAAAAGAAGATCAAATCAATTAAGTAAGGTAGGATGATTGAACTTGGAGTTGAAGCTGACGTTGAGCTAGTGCGGTCTACGAGGTTGCTCTAGGCGAGCAGAGCCAAATGCTTCTGTGTGCTTTTTCCTCGTAAGGATCATGCATACCTTCGATCTAGTCTTGATTGAGCAAAGAAAGTTGATACCTCGAGATACTTGGGCCTACGTGCTGGCAGATAGTTACATATATTTAGACCGATTGTAAAATTAAATTCGATTGAATACCGCGAGGAATTTGGAAGGGAGTGTATGCTAATTTGATATCTTAGATATAAAAATCCAGAAAATATCTACTCACAAGCCCCTATTGGGACCTTACTGGATATATACAGTGACAGATATATGGGGTAAAATTACTACCGCAGTTGGCAATGCCTTACCACTGTGGTAACACTGCCGTATACTTAAAAGACGGTGATAAAGCGGCACATTCTCACAATGCCGTACCGATGCGGTATCGATCAATTTTACCCTCATTAATTCTGATACTGTAATTATGCAGATTTTAGCATGATTACTTAAACTTGAACAGCCTGAGGCAAGCAGGAGTTTGCCTCAAGCATGCCGCCTCATAGACATCTGTGCCTTGAGCTGACTTGAGGTAGAGACCTCGAGGCAAGACCTCGAGCGGGAATGCCTTGCGGACTACACTGACGTCGTCGTTGAGAATCGTCTCCTTATTTGTGGAACAAGATATTCAGAACGCAGCTCATATGAATACCGTTGATACCGGCGTACTAGGTATTCCTCGCATAAAAGAGTGTCTAGCTTCTCATACGTCTGAGACACTAATATCTAGTCTGCAATGATCTAGAGCCATTGTGGATACTATTCTTGATATATAACACAGCCAAATCACACAGTGTCAGCTGATCAGCCTTCTGTATCAAAGTAACCTCTGGATCCAGGGCACTTAAGGAATCAGTTTCACATTTACACTGAGCGAGAATAAAACCAGATTGTATATGCCTATATAATCATAGAAAATCACTTAGCGTTGGCTTCATTAGCCATAAAGGATAGCGGAGCGTTGGTTTCGTACCATAGAATACGCAGCGCCAAATCGTTAAGGATCACTTAGAATAATCATTCTAATACATACCTCCGCAAATTCTACAAAATCATGAGAAAGAACAGGACCCATATTCACTAGCATCTTATATAAGGACCACCGGTGGGAAACATATTTCTCTATTTTGCCGCATGGGCCTTGACTCCGGACCTGTATAAACACCACGCAATAAATCACCCGTTAATTATATAATTATGCATATGCATGGTTTTTTTTTTATCTCAAACTGGAATAGGTTGTACCTATTCGATTGGGATATAGGTGCTGCTGACGTGACATGATATAAGGGGTGAGGAGAAATTCGAGGGATGGACCGGTGAAAATATAAACCTTTCTAGAAAGATACGGGAACGGTATGTGCCTCCCGCGGTCGGGATGAGTAAATAGTCCAATATACTGTGGGTTCTTATATATGCGCATATTATAGCATGGCTTAAGAGTCACTGGATCTCAGTCCCGCGATCTCAGTCCCGCTTAATGCCAGCTGCAGGGAAGTATTTTGCCGTGTCTGCTTTGAGGCGCAAGACCTATGCTAACCCTGACATGGAATGTCTTTCCTAAAGCTACTGATAATCTCAAATATGAGATATCTTTATCTTTATCTTCACAGAAACATAGCAATCGACGTCGCACAAAAGAACCACCATCGGATTATTAGTAGGCCTTGATCAGTAAGTAATGTGCCGTTTTTCTCTGCACCTTGCCTAGAGTACTTACTCTACACTTTAAAGTTGGGCAAGCATCTGACTATCCATGTCAATTTTGAAACGCACTTTCAGGTTACATAAGGTCTCTATCCCAGCCCTACTCCTGCTCCTGTGCCTCTGCGCGAGGAAGAAGTAGGAAGGATGTTGTCACCGAGCAACATCTTGCTCCGGTAAGTCGAATTTTCACAGAAGCCCCCCAGGCTGTGATATAGGCTATTCGGCGCTTCGCTGAGAGCATCTGCTACAGTGCAGTGTGCAGTGAGTGACTAAGGGGGCTCTCAAACGTCAAATTCTGGATCACGCGCAATAGAATTCTATGATTCTTTGGGTCGCCATAGATCACTGCACCACTAACTCGTGAGGAGGGAGCATAAGTGAACTAACAAACTTGCTACCCCACCAAACCGCAGAAACCAACTCCTTCGTTTGACTTCCCCAGTTCGTTTCACAGCCACGCATTCTACGACCCACCGTACAGGTAGTGGGCATCTCAAACTTACTAAATATATCCAAAGTACACCCTATGTTACCTGGCCACTAAACACATAGTATGTCACCGGTTCTCACCTAAAGATTTTACAAGCTATATATCATCTTACGCGGTCCTTGAACCTTTCGTTCAAACCATACAATCTAACAAAGAGATCAGCCAACCATGGCCGAGTATCCACCAGTGAGTGAGACCATTCGCAAAAAGAGATTAACGGCAACCATGAACCATCGACTACCGCCGTTGCGACTCCTCTCCCTAGGTATAGATTAATCCAATTAGAGTCGTTTCATTTATTAAATTTCTTTGGCTAATAAGTATTCCGATTAGATGGTGGAGGGGTCCGTGGCTTCAGCACAATAATGCTTGTCCAAGAGCTGATGCTCAAACTCTTTCACGAACTTTATGGGCGCGCTCCCAGAATAGAAGAGATCCCCAAGCCATGTGACCATTTCGACCTTATTGGAGGGACAGGAACTGGCGGGTATGCTACCACATGTGTTTTCATCTCATATAGCAGAGCGCTGATAATCGGATCAAATAAAGACTTATTGCGATTCTTCTTGGCCGCCTTCGTCTCGATCTCGAGACGTGCAAGAAGGTGTACATCCACGTGACAAAAAAAGTATTCGAAACAGATAAGACGATAGCAGGGCTACCGTATCGGAAGACATTATTTAAAGCTTCAAAGCTAGAAGAGGCGATCAAGGAGGTAATGCGCGAGTATGCTGGGCGTGAGAATGAAGAGAAGGAAGGTTTCCAGAAAGAACAACCGCACATCAATCCTGTGACGAGGTCAAATACGTCCGATTCATATAATAGCTCGCAAGGAAGCAGGAGCAGTTGGAGGTCGGGGTCAGCAGCATGGGGCAATGGAAACATGAACGAACCGTTGTTTGATCCGAGGCCCAAGATCTGCAGGGTGTAAGGATAATCAATCATTCGGGAGGGACTAAGATGGGCTTTTGACTGACAGAAGTTTATCTCAGGTTCTTGACAGCAGTATATAAAGGCTCAGACGACACAACCTCACCTGCGCTCCTCCGGACCTACAACTCCACACATGCAACGGCGCCTTCCTCCGATATAACAATATGGGAAGCCGGTCGCGCAACATGTGCGACCTATCCAGCCTTCAAGTCGATCCAGATCGGGCAAAGTATTTTCCTCGATGAAGGGTCAGGGCGTTACAGCCCTGTAGCACAGGTTCTTGAAGAAGCCCTCGTTCACGAATGGCCTGGGCGAGAGGTGGGTATTCTTGTCTCTATTGGTAGTGGGAAAGCACCAGAAACGGAGTACAAGAAGGAAACATCCTCTATGATAGCAGCCTCACCTCTGGGAAAGTTCATTGAGGCTAAAGAAAAGCACATGGCGAAGGTTCTAGACTGTGAAGAGATTCACAGAGAGCTTTTGGATGGCTTACATAGGACAGGGGTGAAGACGGAGAATTATGTGAGGCTGAACGTTGAGAGCGGAATCACGGATTTTGGGATGAATGAATGGAGCAGGATTGCCGATATTTCGACAAGAACAAGGGCTTATCTAGGCCGGCCGGACATTCAGGTCACAAACCAGTCTGCGGCAGCTAAGTTAGCGGAAATCGCTAGGATCTCCAGCGGGAAGAATGCGGTAAGCTTGGTTGTTTTATCCCCTTTGGAGAGATGTGGAGGGGAGGCTTATTTTTTGGTGCGTTTCACAGATTGATCTTCTCAACCGAGAACTACCAGACTTGCCTCCTAGAACTTCTGATATTCGTGATGAGTTCGACGATGACGAAGTCAGAAAGCACTTTGAACAACTCGACCGAATCGCTGCTAGAATTAGGGTTTAATACAACGATTTCGCTTTCTTTCTCTATTTTCTCTATTTTTATTCTAATTTTCAATTTTGCTTTCATCTGTTTTCGTCAAGCGGGAGTAAGGGTTAGAATTGAAAGGTTTACTTACGGTTTGTATATACTCTAGTCTCTGCTACCTACCAATAGTGCAGTTTGCTTTTGTTCTCCACATGGAGTTAATCAGTCCCCATGATGATCACGGGCACATTTTTTTTTCTTTCTCTTTCTTTTTTTTCCTGATGATTATTCACCGGCCCTCGTACCGAAAGCCCCGCTGCACGGGCAGGGGTTGCGGGTTTCTTGGCCTGCCTATTTCTCAATATCAAATCAATTTTCATGGGTCACTCAGAAGCTGTACCAGGTCCTGTAAAATATTGCCCAGAACGAGAAATACGAGAATAATCGGTAGTGGGTAAGGCTCCCGCGTTTGGGGCTGCGGGGTGGAAATTTCGCCTTCCGGTACTCTGGATCGATGGGAGGGTTTCAACTTTCTAGAGTCAGTTCTCTGTCAATTGTTAATCCCGGTTAGTTACTACTACTAGTATTTCCAACCCCAATCTGGCTAGAAGACGGTAGGAAACTAATAATAATCGGACACCTTCCCGAGGATCCCCGTGCTCCTATCTTACCAAAAAGCCATAAAGATATCAATGCGCGTTTAGCAAGAGCACTTAAGTGACCTAACGAGTTTACAGGGCTCTCGCTAGCTAGTCTAGCTGCATCCTTAAATCTCTTCTATAAAACTACCATAATATGGGGGTTCACCCTCGTAATCCCCCAGAATATTCCAACCTCCGTATTCTAGGCACTTAGCACCTAGCTATCCAGCCAGTACCTACGCAGTATCATACGTAGGAATTTGGAATACAATCATGGCGTCGAGCTCAACCTCCACCGCTACCTCAACCCCGTTCGCCCTCGAACTCCTCCCGCACCCTCCCTCCCCCGCAGCCAAGTCGCCGCTCGCCTCAATCACTACCCGCCAATCGACAAGCCGCAGCCACGATGAGGAGAACTCGCCTGTGGGCGACCAGCCACCGGAGGGCGCAATGGTCTTTGAGAGGCCGAATGTCTCGGAGGTGAAGGGACGGCTGATTGCTGCGAACTTTGCAGTCTTTTTGGCAGGGCTGAGTGATGCGAGTACAGGTGCGCTGATCCCGTATTTGCAGGATGCGTATGATGTGGGGTTGCTGTTTGTGGCGCTGATGTGAGTTGATCATTGACCCCCCCCCCCCCCCCGCGGCTGATGTTGAGTACGAGTGTTACTGGATTGAAGACGCGTTGGTATATGCAGCAATTGCTGTTTACCAGGCTGCCTTCAATCCAGGCGTATGTATAGATTTTAATGAGCATAAGTACTAATTAGAGTTGTAACAGATATCTAACCAACTTCGCCGGCTGGCTGGTGGCCGCATTTACTAATGTGCATCTCACCGCGCGGATTGGCATGGGCGGAGCATTCGTCTTTGGCGCATTCATGCAAATGGCCGCCTACTGCATCATGTTCTGGGTACCCAACCCTCTATCCAACCCTCACTCCAACCCTCCCTCCCCACTCCCGAATCCATAACTAACAAACGTCCAGAAACCCCCCTACCCTGTCTTCGTCTGCTCCTTCTTTTTCTGCGGCCTCGGTCTCGCCTACCAAGACGCACAAGCCAACGTCTTTGTCGCAAATGTCAACAACGCCCACCGCTGGCTCGGCCTCCTGCACTCCCTCTACGGCGCCGGTGCCCTCATTTCACCGCTGATTGCGACGCTTATTGCGTCCAAGACGCCGTACTGGCACTATTTCTATGTTGTTGCGCTTGGCTTCTCCGCCCTAAACCTGGGATTGTTGAGCTGGAACTTCAGGAAGGACCTGAAGGGGACTGCGGCGGCAAGGGATAGTGCGGGTAAGGACCTTAAGAGCGCGCTGAAGGAGCGCAGTGTCATAATCTTGAGTCTGTTCTTCTTCTTGTATGTCGGTGCAGAGGTCACCGCAGGAGGTACGTATCATTTCCCTCGATATTTGAACCCCGCCCGCACTAACACACCCCACAGGCTGGGTCGTCGAATTCCTGATCCGTGTCCGCGGCGGCAAAGCCAGCGAAGTCGGCTACGTCGCCTCCGGCTTCTGGGGCGGCCTGACCGTTGGCCGCCTGGTGCTCGCCGACATCACGCACCGGCTCGGCGAGCGGCGCATGGTGATGTTCTACGTTCTTCTCAGCGTTGTCGTGCAGCTCATCTTCTGGTTCGTGCCCAGCCTTGTCACGAGCGCTGTAATGATCAGTTTGCTGGGCTTCCTGCTGGGCCCGCTGTTCCCCACGGGGATCTCGGTGCTGACGAAGCTGCTGCCGAGAGAGCTGCATACGGCGGCTGTGGGCTTCTCCGCGACGATGGGGCAGGCCGGGTCGGCGGCGTTTCCGTTTATGACGGGCGCAATTGCGGCGAAGAGCGGTGTCGGCGTGCTGCAGCCGGTGTTGGTGGGGTTGTTGGCTGGGATGGCGGGGTTGTGGGTGTTACTGCCGAGGACGAGGAGGCCGACGGCGTAGGTTTTTGGGGGCTTGGTGGGCTTGGGGGTTTCGGTTGGGTTATTTTGGGTTTCATTAGAAAAATACATATATCATTGACCCTATACATTGTAGGTATACTTGGGTATAATCGTGACCTGTGTGATGCAAGGGGGATATACATATATCAGGAAGTGCCCTCGCTCTTTGCTATTTACCCATGCTGCTCTATATACCATTATCTCTCTTAAATTCTACCCGCTCATAGTGGTTTTAGGCAGTGGATGCCAATTATGCCACCGCCGTAATCTTGTTCTAATAAACACTCAAGGCGGGCAGAGATCAGTAAACCTAACCCTAAGCACATATTCAATTAAACCATTTAGCAGTGGATACGTGTAATATTGTTTGTTAATATGTATGGCGATCGGTATCTATAAAAGGTGGAGATCAATTAACCGTAACCTTCCATATCTCTTCATATGCACTCTCTATCTGATTGCTTGGTCTCGTTCCGGCCATTGAAACACACACTCGAGCTCCGCTTCGGTACGGCATCATTTCACGGCACTCACGATAAGCTTGTTGGCCGTGAGCTTTGATAGAGGGCCCCACCAAGTATCCCAGCTGATACAGTCTGCTGCCTATGATTTGATATACTTAGACCACGACGAGACTGCAGTGACGACAGTAAATGGGGTCTGTTCAGCAGACCACGGTCCACAATACGACTTCACTCGCTCTCGAGGCGAGTCAGGCATCCTTGTATATGCTCGGGCAGCTCCGAATCGGAGATTTCTTTTTAACGTATCGTTCTTTATGGGCCATCGACCCAATAGACCGGGTTGTGTGCCTTTACGATGCGTTTTTTACTCCAGCATTGTATGTAGCCCCATCCAGATCCGACCCAGCCCAGAATTGATGACCATTCCCCGTCAACAATCGTGCAGGACGAGCAGGCCAATCAGAGATTACCACGGACCCCCCTCTCAACACCACGAAAATCATCCCTCGAGGGTTTTCAGCCAATCGGCGGGCGCCTAGAAACACGGTCAAACAAATACCACACGAGTCCCTGGCAAACAGCACGGAGCAGAACAGAGCAGCATGGCTTCAGAGCAGACATCGACGGGGAAGCTGTATGCGGCCCTCATATCCAGGCTGGAAAACGATAAGGCGCAGCTGGAGAGGGAGAGGGACTTTCTGAAGAAGGAGCTGGCAATCCAGACGTACCGGAACCGCAAGCTGGAAAAAGAGATAGAGGAGCTGAAGAAACGGGACCGGAAACAAACTGTGTCAGCGCGGCTACCAAAACCACGAACCACAAATGTGAGGAGGCCGCCTATAGAGCTGGCGGACAGTGATTCGGACTGTTCAGAGAGCACCACTGCTACGACCGACACCGAACTAGAACGAACACCGGCCCCCTCTCCAAAGCGGTCGCCTGAAATGAGACCAGTAACAACGCCACAGAATGTCATGCCGTTGTGGATGGCTCTTGCCGAAGAAACGATACCCGAACGAGCAGGTTCAAGCCACGAGATACCCGCACCCCAGCCTCCCCGATTCGAGAAAGATGATGGCAATGAGTATGATAATGATATCATCACAAACTTTACTTCCAATTGGGATCGTTGGAATAGCATAGCAGAGGTTCCTGAGCCCTTATATATGAGGGGGAAGTTGGTGGAGCTGTCTGGAGGGATACAAACAACCTTTACGATCGACCGCATGTTCAAGGTCAGGTTGATCAGAGCAGATGATCCAAAACATGATATATCTCGGCTTAAATTCTCTTTCAAATATGGGTGTAGACTTGAATGTGTGTGTGGCTTGTGTATGAGAAGTACGGATTCAGTAAACAAGAGGCTTAAGATCGTGGATGATGAGTTGCATTTAGACGGGGAAACTGAAGGGGATTGCGACACGTCTGCAGGGTTGAAAATCGAAGCGGATAAAGATCTTGAGAAGAAATAACGCTCATATGACGAGACAGGATAAAGGTGTGGCTGGCTGCCTGGTGCATTTTGATCATGTACTCGTAGATTTTTCTTCTCTGTTGATCTTGGTTATGGGGGGGGGGGGGGGGTTGGATATTCAGGTGCGTTTGTAAGAACAGAAAAAAGAATGGGGTACCAGTTCTGCCCCCATGGATGGGTGCGGTGAATAATCATGGGCTGTTTTGAGCCTACTGCATCGAGAGTGAGCTCAACCGGACCAAAATAAAGCGGCCGATCACAGACCAGATTTCTAGACTGGCCGTGATAAAATATCCAAGGACAAAAAAGCCAATGCCTTCACAACTCCGATGTCACAATAGTTGACCAAGTAGATTCAAGCAGGCGCCGCCTGGAGTCCATGTCCATAAATCCTTGCGGGACATGGAGTATATGATCACCTTATAACCCCAGAGTGGTAGACTGTCTACTTAGTTAGTCTTGGCGCGAGTGATATCTGGTGCCTAGAGCGTGGTGCAGTCGATCCCCGTGCGTTTCGCGTAGGTTGGGATAGAGGGCCCTGGGGTAGCTCGGCGGGGGCTGAAACGAGGGAGGTAGGGTAGTTAGTCTGTTTGTCGGGCGGGGTGGTGAGAAGAGCGGGGAAGGTAGGTACTTCTAGCTAGCCAGAGAACTGAAGCTTCTGGAGATGATTCAAGCCGTCGCCGATAGTGTCCTGTCCTTTGTGTATGCGTAGCCATAGAGCATAGAAGCACATTGTAGGACTGTATATTACTAACTAGAGACGCTGCGGGGGCGTCGGTGCTGTTCCTAGCGGGTAGTAAGTCGGTTAGTAGGTACGTATCGTGCGTTCTGATAGGAGATAGAGAGTAAAGGGTAAAACACCCACCACGCGGTACCTTTACGTTTGTGTGTAAAGAATAGAGTCTTAACACTGCGCTTGAGTGTGGCCCAGACGTTAGGTTGTGGAGGGCGGGGTTTCCGTACTAGGTTTATACTCCCGAGGTAAAGAGACTCGGCTTCTGCGAAAATACCAAGTGACATGGCCCTCTTGTAACTACTCCGAGCAGCTGTGGAGCTGGTAACAGCATCAGACGAAAAGAGCGGTCTCTGGGGACTGCACCTGTCGATATCAGTGTATCTGCTTGGTAGTTTCGAGCATGCCTCGCGACGAATTTAGTGTGCAATATATATCTTGATAGAACATTTAAAGGAAATGTTCTCTTCAATTGCAATGCAATGAGGATGATTCGGGGGTGCTGAATTCAAAATCCGAGAATTACTGACCCAGTACAATTGCAACGGCCTAAGCTTAACCTTGTTTAGGACAGAACCGTTTTCCAGTTCTTAAAGGTTCAATTGGAGATAAAGATCAAGGAGATAAGAAGAATCTTGCTCTGGGAGATAGGAGTGTGCAAATTAAGGTTTGTTGATGATGTTGCTCTACCGTGCAAGTGCCAAGCTGTTTTAGAAATTAAGGTTTATCCATCGATTCTATCTGTCGCTACTTATTGCGGTCATTCAACCCCCACTAACTCGAACTGATAATCTGTAATAACCCCTTGCTCTATGCTCTAAGGCTTCTATGAGATTGTAATAAACGTTGGATATAGTCTAAGAATAACTATAAGATAAGGGTTGATATTAGCGTGTGGATATTTTAGAATCTTGGCTTTATTTGTGGTCTTATATTAGTCCTTTACTGGGAGCCTTCTTAAGAGACAGAGATTGAAATTTTAAATTACTCTGATATCAAGTGCGTTGAGCTGCAACAAGATTATTAACGTGACTAAGAAGGTAAGGAGATCTGCAGTGCCACTCACCCTGCATGAACCCTTCCCGCCCTTGGTAGAAATAGGGCCTCGCTGTCAGGTTAGACTCCCCTAAGCTCGCACCACCTCCCAACACCGCCAGCACCGTCATTACAGACTCCAATCCATTGAAAGTCCTTCTCCTTCACCAGAGTCCTAGAGAGCAATTGTTAGCTCGGGTGTAACATAAGATGCCTAAAATAATTGTAGTAGGCGCAGGTGCGTATTCATTCCTTGAGCTATAGCTATCTCACTGAGGTGACACGTCCTAACATCGTATCATATAGGATGGTTTGGCTTGATCGCGGCAAAAACATATCTCCACATCCATCCCAATGATTCCCTCCTCATCCTAGAGTCTGCCTCCCAGCTGGGCGGAACATGGTCCCGTGAACGTATCTATCGCGGGATGATAACCCACAACGGCATTGGAGCCCTGGAGATCAGTGACTGTCCGCTTGAGAATGGGACACCAACCGCTGAAAGCTACATTATCGGGCCTGATGTAACCAATTACCTATATCACCTGGCTACCAAGTACTCGCTCCATGAGAGGATACAGTGTGATTCACCGGTCGATTCTATCGATAGAGACCCTTTAACAAAAGAATGGATTTTGAACATTGTCCGCGCAGATGGCAGTAAGGCTGAGCAGCGGTGCGAGAAGCTGATTATGGCGACTGGATTGACATCGAAGCCATTTACTCCGACTGACATTCCAGTGAATAGCCCCAGAATGCCAATGATTCACTGCACTGATCTTGGAAAGGCTCAAGACTTCTTGGAGAGCGTTGTAGTCAACCACGTTACTATCTATGGTGGCTCCAAGTCCGCATTCGACGCCGCATATATGTGTGCAGCTGCTGGAAAGAAAGTGGACTGGATTATACGTACCACAGGTCAAGGTGTAGGTTCAATGTTCACTGCAAAGTCCTTGGGACAAACCTCAGCTTTGCTGGCGCCGAAAAGATTCTTCAATGCATTGAGCCCATGTGTCTACAATCGCAATACCCTAGTTTCCCGTTTCCTTCATGGGACAAGTTTTGGACGTGCACTCATCAGAACATACTGGCGCACATTCACAAAAATCCTGTATAAAAAACAGGGTCTCAACACCTCGGAGAATGGGCGTAAACTCAAACCTTCTCTTGGAGAACTCGGCCCATTCTGGTCCGGTAGTACTCCGACAGGTGTGCTCAGCCAGGTCGATTTCTGGGATTATGTGCACCCCGCAAACGCGCCCATTACCGTTCACCGTGCTGAAATCGACTCTATCAATGGAGGGACCGTTAAGTTGAGTGATGGCGTGGAAATAAGACCAGATGCGCACGTCTGGGCCACTGGGTGGATTCGTAACTCATCCCCTCTTGCGAGGGACACAACCCTGGGTTTATATACCGGCGTGCCTCTGCCGTTACCTCGGATTCCGAGTTCTTCCAAGGAGCATTGGGACAAGCTTGAAGGATCAGCGGATAGTCTCATTCTTTCCACCTTCCCGATTCTTGGTTCTCCACCGCCTTACAACCGACTTCAGCGGACCCACAGTCCTTATAGATTGTATCGTCTTATTGCACCTCCAGAGATGGCATGTCGTAATGACCATACTTTGATCCACGTTGGGATGGTACACACCAGTGCCACAGGGATGATGGCGGAGCTACAGGCACTTTGGGGCGTTGCCTATTTGGATGGAAAGCTGGATCTCGCTGAGAGGAAGGAGGAAATGGATATGGAGTGTGCTCAAGCAAATATGTGGGCAAGGAGGAGATACATGAACTTAGGGGAAAAGTGTGCAAACTTGACATTTGAGTTCTTGCCGGCAAGTTGCACTTTCCCCAAATTCTTGAAAAAATGTTTCTAACGGGTTAAAAATAGTATTTTGATACACTCCTCGGAGATTTGGGGCTCAATTCTGAACGTAAGGGCGGTGGGTGGAGAGAATGGTTCTCAACTTATACTCCTGCAGATTATAAGGGTGTTTTGGAAGAATACATGGAGAACCATGAGGGCATGGGTGTCAAGGATAAGAGCATTTAGGAGTGTAATGGCTCGGTCGAATAGTTTTGACGGCTTTGTTTGGTATACGATGGATACAACTTTAACTGTTATTTTTATCATGTCTACTAGGAGTTTAGAGTGCATGCAGAATATCTACGTTCCTGTTCTGAATTGAAATAAAGCAAAGTTTGAAACATTATATAATGTTGAGTGATTACTCATGATCCACAAGTCATCCTGTGTAGGTTTAAGCATACCGTGGTTTCTTATGATTTGTGTCCCGCCTTACTTAAGGACTTATTCTCTCACAACTACAACCATCAGTCCCACCAGTCCCACAACCCTTCCACCAACGACCATACCCCGCTTAGAGGTAGTCCAGTTAGACGATAGACAACCTGATCTCCGTGGTGGATGATACACGGATTCACCTATAACCCCCCCCCCCCCCCAAATCTCATCATCCTACCACTCCACTACTTTTTAGACGATTTACTACGTGCTGCTACAGGAAGTCTGCTGAGATTCAGAAGCTAGCTAAACAGAGGTATTCAGAAGCCTGAGAGACTGGGAACTAGGCTAGCTGCCGAGACCGAGCCCCAAGAGGGAGGGGTGTAGACCGCCTCCAATGGCCCTACAAGAGTCAATGCTACAGTCTTGCCTCCGCATCTAGATGGCAGTAGCTATACCAGATAGATGGCTACTAAAGCGCTAACCCGCACATGAGATGTCTATAGGGTCCAAAAGAAGGTCTAATCTCAGAGATATGGGGGTGCATGAGCTCGAGGGCTGCAGTGGGAGCTTGGGCAGATGTGCAGCTGGTACATTCCATCCGCGCAAAAACCACCCATCAGGGAGATCCGGGATCCTCAAAAAGGCAGCTGGGGACATTGGTAGCATAGCCTGCTCAGGCAAGTGGCTTGTCAATTATCACCAGGGACGCCTGCCTGTCGATGCGATATGAGAATGCACACTGAAATCGAGTGACCTCGCATGACGCATCGTTCACAGACCATCACTCGTTGTGAGAAGATGCCCGGAGGGGATCTCCTGATCTTGTGTTTTTGGAGGTTCCTATGGCTGTTTATATCACCTCGTCACCATGAGGTGAAGACGGGGTCAAGGGCAAGGGCAATTCTACATTGCTCAAGCTATTTACCGCCAAAGAATAGAGTCGATCTGTTACCCTCTACTTACTTTGGCCCTATCAGCGTCGGGATAGGATATCTCGAGACTGGTCTTGGTATCCGTAAAGCTCCCTACCTCTGAGACCGCGTCAGTTATACTTGCGCTATAATTGAGCACCACGATGAACCATACCAACAACCAGGAATTAGAACAGACCTAAACACTGAGAAGTGATATCTAGTCTAAGGCTATATCCTTTCCGTTACTCATTACTACTACTAACTGTTTGTCAGGCCGTACTTGACTAAAAAAGCAGCAACTAGTCCCAAGAACGAGCTGCCTAGCTGGGTCTTCACACACCGCGCACAGATAACGATCTAGCTTCTCTTTTGCAGTATTTGGTATTCTCCACTACAAGCACCTTCTATTAAACTCACATCATAAAACGTCCCTCTAGCCCCAGGAGATTTCTATTTATTCCCCAATTTCTCCATTACACCATTAACCCACGACATAAAAAACAACGGAAGAATTCAAGCCACTACCCTCATTATGGTCATTCTCCTCCAAGACTCGCCCTCCCTGCCTAATTGTATGATGCCGATCGCATAGCTGGAAGTGGAAGCAGGTGCATGAACAGGCACAGGAAGTTGAGACACTGTACCAGCACGTGGATGGTGGCGGGTAGATATATGCATCAACACGAGTCGAAAAGAAAGAAAAAAAAGAAAACTGACAAACTCGCAGAGCCGTCTCGGAATCGGAATCGTGAATATGGTACATGAACCTCATTACCGCATGATCATCATAATCATCATCATCACTGCCATCACTCGTATAATTATCTCTTCCACCCAAACCGCATCATATCCTATGATCCGTCCATCACACCCAATCATCCGTTCCAATGTCATTGTTGTATTCCATCATCCGTCATCCTACCACCCGTATCCTACCACTGCGCCCAGGCCCACGACCCCCACAACCACCGCGCCCAGAACGCCCCCGTCTCTCCCGCCTTCGCTGGATGTGAGTGTGCCTACACACATGGTCCGGAACGGGCAGCAGGCAGGGCGCTGGTTCTCGTCAAAAACACAGACCTGGTCGAGGGTGCAGCAGGCGTCGGGGCGCCCGATGACGGCGCAATCGTGGTACCGCGCCGGGCACGACACCGTCGTGTTTGTTTCGTTTCCTGTGGTGGTGGTGCTTGTAGATGTTGCCGAGGTCGCGGTTCCAGTTGCGGTCCCAGTTGCGGTTCCAGTTGCACTTACGGTTGTGGTTGTGGCAGGCACTGTGGGCACGAAGCTTTGTGCGTTCGTGAGGGAGAGGAGCAGCAGCAGGACGGAGAGAAGAAGTGCGTTTTGAAGCATGGTGGTGATTGGCGCTGGTGAAGTGTCGTGTAGATCGTGATATCACTAGCTTGCTTGCGTGCTGGCTGGCTGGCTGGCTGGCTGACGGAGGCAAGTGGGTAGGTGGTATGTACAACGTATGTAATGTACTGTGTGTACGCAGTGGGTATTATTATGATATGATGATGTGCACGAGCTTTAGGGGGGAGGGGGAGGGGGGGGGTTGGGGTTATGGTTTATGGTTATTATGGAAAAGGTCCTTCCCTCGCCCATGCGCGTCAACAAACAGAACCTGATTGCCCCTGTGCAGCTGTGTGCTATGCCCTTTATATCGGCACCCCTAACCCATTGCCAATAAATTCAGGGCCCTGTTCTGTGCATGTGTGCTTTTTCATGCAGCAGCGATTAGTGTGCGTTATCCTTCCTCCTCTTGCTGCAGGTTGTTGTTGCATGTGTGGATACTGTCGGGGGGAAGAACAAGGCTAGTCTGGCTTCTTCCATGTGCACTGCTAGGTACAGTCTCTTCCCGCCCGCTGCATCTGCTGCCTGCCCCTCCCGCCTGGGATCTGTCTTTCTGTGAAGTTCTATCTATTCGTCTCCTTGTCGTACTCGTCGCTGTCTGTGCCTGTCTCTATCTGTCTGTCTGTCTGTCTCTGTCTCTGCCTCTTCCACACTCTCTTATTCTTCCCCTGCTCGTTGCTGCACCTCCCAGCCATCGAATATCGTTGTGACGCATCCGGGTTAGGGTTCTCTCACTCTACGCTACACAGTTACGTTCTTTCCACTGCGATACAATTGATCAATTACTCATACCTACGTGGAGTGCATCGATTCTACGCATTATTCTAGAGTATAGAGAATCACCCACGCGCACGCACGCACGCACATGTCCATACGCACCTGTCCTTGTCCCTGTCCCTGCCCGTGCCCGTCCCTGTGCCTCTACCTATATCAATATCCCATGCCCACGCCCATGCCCATCCCACCACGACCACCACCGCTCATACTCCCCAACCCACCACCACCACCACCACTACTCCAACCTCAGTGCAAATGACCACCCCAACACCACCAACAGAAGCACAAGAAGCAGAAGAACAAGAAGCACCCTTCTACCCCCGCCCCCTCTTCCACCACTCCCCAACCTTCACAGCACCCCTCCCGCTCACGGCCCACGACATCCACACAAAACTCACCGCGCACCCGCTCTTCGCCGGCCAGAACATCCTCCACCACAACAACCACCCCGTGCACGTCGTGCGCGTCGTCGGCCTGCTTGTCGCCCTCGACACTTTCGATATCCGCCATGCCCTCGTGCTCGACGACGGCTCTGGCGCCACCATTGATGCCATGATCTGGCGGCAGCGGCGCGAGGTTGCGGTCGAGCTGCCGGGGGAGGCGGTGGTGGGTTCCGTGCTGGGCGTGGAGGGGGTTGTGGGTGTGTTCAGGGATGTGCGGCAGGTGGAGGTGCAGAAGCTGTGGGTGCTGCGGGACACGGCGGAGGAGGTGGCGGCGTGGGCGGAGGTGCTGGAGATGCGCAGGGGGGTGCTGAGTCGGCCGTGGGTGATAGAGGAGCGGGTGCTGGAGAGGGAGAGGAGGAAGGCGGAGAGGGAGGCGAGGGCGGTGGAGAGGGCTGTTGCGGCAGCCGCGGCTGCGGAGAGGGGGTTTGTGGGGAGGAGGAGGGTGCCGGGACAGACGTTTGAGGTTGTGGTGCCACCAGTGGAGAGGGGGTCTTCGGTGGTGGATGGGCAGGAGGATACAGGGAAGGAGAGTGCGCCGAAGGTGATAAAGTATATTGGCCACCGGCGCACATCGAAACCCCCGGAGGCACCGGTAGAGCCCCCGCGCTCGCCTGTAGAACCTGCGCCAGAAGTATCGCGAAAGTTCATTGGCCGCAGAAGGCCCTCGCGACCACCCTCAGAGGTGCCCACGGAGCCTACGCCGGACCCAGAACCGGTACAACCCGCGCTGAGATATATTGGCCACAAACGCACCTCGAGACCTCCGGAGGCGCCGCCTATATTAGAATTCCCGGTACCACCACCCGCTCCAGTCGTACTCGTGCAGGCGACACCACCGACATTTGTCGGCCGCCGAAGGACATCGAGACCGCCGGAGGTGCCTGTTCCTATCGAGCCTGCACCAGATCCAGCGATGAAGTATATAGGCCGTAGACGGACCTCGAAACCACCAGAGGCGCTCACGGAACGTCCGATTAAAGAAGAGCCTGTACCAGACACGGCGGTGAAGTTTATCGGCCGTCGACGAGCGTCAAAGCCGCCGGAGGAGCCGGTGGTTGGAAAAGAACCTGTCGTGGTAGTCGCAGTGTCGAAGTTTATCGGCCGCAGACGTCCGTCGAAACCGCCTGAGGAACCTCCGGAGCCCCCGGTCAAGGAAGGGCCTGCGGTGGGGGCAGCGCTGAAATACATAGGCCACAGACGTACCGGCTCGAAACCGCCAGAACCCCCCGCGGCCGCAGTCGCGCAGAAATCTACAAAGGTTGTAGCTGTGCCGTCATATGCCGGGCATAAACGTTCAAAGCCCCTCGAACCAGCACCGGCAGCGACGAAGCAAAAATACGTAGGCCACAAACGGAGCACAACCGTCACAGTCCTAGAACCGGCATATCGCGCACTAAAGCGCATGAGACCGCTACCAGAAGACGACGAGGAGCCAGCAGGCTCGGGATCTAGAGCCCAGAAGCGCCAAAAGCTACCCATGCAGCCGTTCTCGTCATCGTCCGAGTACTGTAGCGGCGGCAGCGGCAGTCATCGTCGTCCCAGCAGCAAGGCAGCACCTCCGCCGCCGGCATCAAGTTCTGTATTTCGCGGGAAACGTCAGACAGAGCCACAGCCACCTATACTGTCAGCGTCGCAAGTGCCTCAGGAGCTGCTGGACTCCATCTGTCTCTCCTCGCCCGCTTCCACTCCAGGGTCGAAAGCATCACCGCCGCCATCACTCCGCCGCGGCCGCTCGTCGGGAATGCATGAAGCCGCACCACCATCCGCCCAACCACGGCCGCAAGCAACACCACAGACGCAGACGCAGTATCGTGGCCGCCGGCGCCACCCCAGTGCCCGCAGATCGGAGCAGTCGAGCTCGCTCACTCCCGTGGGTACGGCGAAGCGTGAAGCGTATAGGCGTGTCCGCCGCGAGAAGGAGAATAACATGATGACCTCGTCGATGGACTCCACGACCAGCATGAGCACGTACCGTGGCAGCGGGCGGTACAGTACACGTGCAATGACCAGCTCACAGGAGGCGGAGCAGCAGCGGCGGAGCCGGAAACGTAGCAGTAGGGCGTCAAGGAGCTCGCAGGAGGAGGCGGCGTATGTGCCGTCGGGAAGGCGTAGGGGTGATGAGGATCAAGGGGAGAGGAGGCGGACGAGGAGCTCGCAGGAGGCGCCTTATGTTCCGTCCGCGAAGCGACGGGGTGAAGAGGAGGATGTGGAGAGACGCAGGACGCGTAGCTCGCAGGAGGAGGTGGATCATAGTGGGTTCTGGGGGAGGAGACGGGCGGGAGCGATGGTTAATCTCAAGAAGCCGGCTGCGACTGTGGCTGGGAAAATTGGGTTTGTGGGCAAGCGCCGGAGCACGATGGCTATGGAGAGTAGTGGTGGCGGTGGGAAGCGACGGAAACTTATGCCGGAGCTGGAGGATGAGAAGGAGAGGCAGAAGGAGAAGGAACGGGAAGAGCAGGACGAGGAGCGAAGGCTGTTGGCTGCGATAGAACAATCGCCATACGTCCCGACACCGCCTCAGAAGGAGGAGCCTGCGCCGACGCCGACGATGAAGCCGAAGAGTCTGTTTCTGGGGCGCCGGAGAAGCACACTGTTGCAGCTGGATGAGGAGATATCGGACTTTTCGGATTATGTGCCGAGTCCTGCTAATACTGCTCCCAATACTGCTCCTGCTCCGGCTGCTCCTACTACTGTTAATCGTGCCCCTGCGAATCCTGCTCCGGTGGTGTCGAAGTTTGTGGGCAGGCGGAGAAAGTAATTCTTGTTTGTGCTCTTTTGGTTTGTGTTTTCCTGTGTTGTGTCTTGGGCCTTTTTTCCTTGCCTTGCCTTGTTTTTGTTCCGGCGTCCTGGGGTGCGAATTCCATTAATAAACAGATATTATAGACGGTCGTACGGGTATGGGGTGTTATGGAGACTTTTTTTCTTCTTTTGTCCCGGTTTGGATTTTTGCTTTTTGTAGGTTGGTTAGTACTGTGGAAGTAAAGTAGTGTAGCATTCATGGCATAGCGTAGTTTCAGCAGTAGTTCCGGTATTAGTAGTAGTAGATAGAATAAGCATTCTTCTCTCTTCTCCTGCTGCTGCTGCGGTGCTCGCTAGAGGAAATATCGTGATGCCAGCTGCAGTTGAGAAATGCAACCCCGTTGATAGGGATGGGATAGGCAATATTTCCGAGTCTGTGGCTATGGAAATCGTGAAGAGTGGTTGGCCGACCTATGAGATATATAACACTGAGGTTCCTCGGAATTTCTGCATTAAAGTAACAGCTATTAAGTTCTCCTTGTCTATTACTCGTGGACATATGATCTTAATGCTGCCTATAACAACGGGAATAAGCAATTCCTAGGTGGTTGGAATGCAGCAACGAGTGATAGTCTATGACGATACCCTCCCCCCACTTTTTGTCTCTACCAGGTTAGCCAATTAGCCTGTTCGTTGTTAATTGCGTTTAAGAGAACAGTTAATCTTACGGCGGTCAGCGTATGCAGTAGACAGCTGTTCCACACCCAAATGCAGCTACTTAGGTGATCGGACATCTTCTACCAAGCTTATTGGGCTGTCCCCCGGAAAGCGCTCCCCAACCAGAATGTCAGCGGTGTCATGATATGCTTACTTTCCTGTGTTGTGTGTGGCAGTCCAACTTTGGCCCTCCAGTGACATGACTCTCTCCTCGGAAGTAGTGTTGTCAATATTTTACAGTTGAGTTGGGGACTTCTGTGTGTGTATGCGTGTGTGTGTGTGTGTGTGTGTGTATATTGGAGGAGTACATGTAAGTGGCTACAACACGTTTCAACAGCACCGCCCACCGCCCGACTCGATCCGGCCCGGAGCTAGAGACGTACGTGTCTGGCCCGAGACACCATGATTCATTCACTATCCTACGGGAAACTCTAACCCAACATAAGATATCACTCGCTCGTGCCAAGACTGGACTTGTGTTCGCTTTAAGTCCAAATTTCTTTTCAAACAGCAAAAATAGATACAATTTTACACCACAATCTACAGTCCAACTACACCAATCGCAACACCGCAACAGATCAAGCAAGTATACCCGCAGTAGCGCCAGTATACGCCGGCTTCTTTGCAAAGTTCTCGTCCCAGAGCAAGGCCGCGCCAGATCCACTGAATGTGTCCGGAACCCACGAGTACTACATCACCAGCTTATTAGCACATATTTCGGATCTAGAGAAAGAGGAGGGAGAATATACCTTATCAGACACACCCCACGTCGTGACACCGACACAGTTCGCGGTCCTTTTACACGCATACACCGCTGTCTGATAGTTGCTGCTCTGATCAGCAAGCTTCGTAGCATCGGACGGCAGTGTCATTCTGATGTCGAGCTCCGTGAGGGCGACCTTAAGCCCTGTGGCAGCGAGGGCTGCGAGCGGCTGGTGCATGTATGGGATAGCGCCGTTGTTGACGATCAAGTGAGCCTGGGAACCGATACCGTCGATGGGGACGCCGGCGGCGATGAGGCGAGTGACGAGCGCGACCATGGCGTTGACCTTGCCGCCGGCGTAGTCGAGGTTGTAGTCGTTGATGTAAAGCTTTGCGGTGGGGTCGGCGGCTTTGGCGGCGCGGAAGGCAATGTCGATGAAGGATTCACCGAGCACGTTGTAGAAAACGGAGGTGCGGAAGGTGCCGTCGTCGTTGAAGACTTCGTTCACGACATCCTAGAGAAAGGTTAGTGTTTTCCCCTTATATCACTGGTTTTTGGTAATGATTGAGCATACCCAGTGGTGAATCTTGCCAGCGTAACGCCCGGCAACGCCCTTGATGTGGTCTTGGATGACCGTGGTCAGCGTAGCGGCATCGGTGATTGCAGAGACCCATGAAGGCAGCTGGCTGTGCCAGACCAAAGTGTGACCTCTGATCAGCTTGCCGTGCGAAGTTGCCCAATCAACCAAGTAATCTGCATCACTCATGGAGAAAACACCACGACTCTCTAGAAGTCAACCACCAGTCAGCTTATACTTAATTATGCGTGTGTGAAGTGGAGAGGGGGGATATTACTCTCAGTCGCATCCCACTTCATACTGTTCTCCGGAGTGACTTGGCCATACTCTGCAATGACAATGGCTTCGTATGCAGCGTCACTGAGGGTGTTTCTGTCTGCGCAGGTACCAAAGTACTCCCTTCCAACGGACTTCATCTTTGCATCTAGACTGCCGGTTGAGGTGGCCACAGGGGCTGAGGATGTTGCTGTTACTACTGCAACGGAAGTGGAGGCGCTTGATGCCGTGCCGGGTAGGCACTGGGAGTAGTAGCTGTTGGATACCACGCAGGTCGATCCCGAGGCACAGGTGGTTCCTCCAGTCCAGCCAATACCACCACCTACCAGATATCCAAGTCAATTTCACATACTAGAGAATAAATATGTGGGATCATGTCGAGGACTTACACTGTGCCCATACGGCCTGCTGAGCAGAGACGGACCGGACAGCTACTGCAAGCAGCGCAAGAAATTCCGCACGTAGGACAACCATGGTCGAAATATCTGATTAAATTATACCGGTGGAAATGGAGGAAAGGAAGGACTCGGATCTACTATATCCAAATTACTAGAGATTGGAATTCTTCCTCTTCGTTCTGGCTTTGACCCAAGTATTTATACCAAAGAAAAAGATATCCCACCCCTTCCCTAGATTCAGATACGGCTATTGTGAAGGGAATAGGGGGAATGAATTTCCGCCATTAAAGTCCGGTTGTTCAACCGGAAGTGGATTGGGTTGGTTTACCATAAATTGTGGAGGGTCCCCGATCCGTGTAAGGTTAATATCGGGTTCCTAGTTGTTGCTCGGTTGTCGTTCCCGGTACTCCGTTTGAACCAGGAACAGAACCTTTGCACATCCGTTAATCAAAGAGCAATAAACAATTAAAACTTTACACATAGTGAAGTTAATATCTTATTATTTACTCATCATCAGTAAAACTATCATGCGTACGCGGGCAGCCTGAAGGAAAGATGGATTCTTCCTTTCGTCCACAGCACTTTAGCCAGTCAGCAAACATAATAGGCATCTTTCCGGTTCCTGAACGTTGGACATCCTTCGGAGTAACGCAACGTGCACGGAGATCTCGCGATAATATCCGGGGTATTAGCTAGAGTGTGGGGTAGGTTTGTTACACGACGTTGATGTGCGCTACCATTTGGATCAGATGAGATAGTATCAACCTGGAGCGGGAGAGGAACAACCCTTAGAACCAGGATAGCAAAGCAATTTAGCCTGATTATCAAAGAAGCTGTCTATGGTGGGACTGTAGCTAATTAGCCTAAGCTTTATTTCTTTTGAAGATCGATTGGGGACTAGGGGAGAGCTACACCTAGTTTTGATATATAGTTTTGGTACCTTCGTGGATAGATGTCACTTTGAGGCAGGTGAGCTTAGTATAGGAGAGTTAGGAATATGTATGATGTACGTACGGATTCTTCTCACAGCTGGTACTTGATGTGTCTCCATTAGAGTGGAGTATTTGAAGCCGCGGTGGGCAAGAGGTAGTACTAGTGAGCCGGTAAAACAGCGGGAGGTTGTTCGATCATCTCATCTCACTCGGCAGTCATATCAAACAGCTCCCTATTTGCCTCCTGGCGTGGGCAGATATACCCAAATCTCAGCCACAAGAAAACACAAATAAAATTAACCAACAAAGGGAAAAATTACCTAAATTAATTGACGCCCGCCCAGCTCCTGGGACACACGTACACTTAATCAAGAGATACTTTATTCGATGAGTTGGATAGCTATTTATGAAGGTGGGGGAAACTAGAGTAACCAATTGAATATGACAAACACTCAATCTATGCCCGCCTTTGATCAAAAAGGTAGTCGTACATATGATAAGGAGATGTTTCTACATACTCACGCGTTCCTCTGCTCCAGCAAACATGAAGCCAAGATCTCTCTAGATTGGCCGGTTTCGGTTATCACGCCGCCAAGCTGATACCCGGTGAAACTTCACATATTGAGCCCGGCTCAGCAACTGGCTGCCTCCAAATTGAATGACGGAGTAGAGTCTGTACAGCCGGCTGAGTATGAGTGCACGAAAACAAAAGTGATAAACTCCGTGTTACTGCATTCATTATGAACGCGTCCGGTATCTCAGGAGCGTTTTGATAGAGATGAAAATTATCAACCTTATAAATAGATGGAGTTGGCTCGCAGCATCACGCCGTATATTCTTCTTCTTGATATTTCTTAAATTCCCGAGGGCCAGCTGTAGTACCGAAAAGGAGATGCAATTTCATCCGCCTTTTTGGTACAGTAATATTATCGGCGGCAGCAGCAGATCAAAAGTTTAGGACATTTAAGCATTGTGTTAAGCGAAACAAATGGGAACGGTGCCCGGGGCCCTGGAAGCTGCTATGCAGAATGGGGAAAAGTTTCCAAGAGGAAGTGCTCGCGTGTATGCATGTTCTCCACATAAATATCTGTATTGAGTGTGGAACGTCCTACTCCGGAGAATTTATCCTGAACTCTGCGAAGAATGTGGATACCTGCTTAGGAGATCAGATTATTATCGTGCGCTGAGATTACTGAACAGGTGGGGAATAGTTCAAATTTTGGATACCAACATACCTATGTGCTGTGAATCGATCATCTTCAATTGAGTGATTCTCTACCTAGAGCATCCTTGAATTCATAATTTTAATAAGCAGATAAACACCTGATGTATATGGTGATCTGAGATATATACGAAGTATGTACAGTACGATGCCAGTCGTGAGGGTCAGGCGCGGCGTCGCAACGCCCCCCGAACCATCACGGGTACCAGCACAGCAACCACAATTGATCCTTTGGAGAGCTGAATTTTTGTATAGTTGTTAAATAGTAGATAAATAACAATAATTTGACATTTAATATCTTGTGTACCAACCCGCCATGAAAAGGTTGTGGAAATCTGGTTGCGCGCGCGGCGTTAACGTTGCGACGCCGCGCCTGACCCTCACGACTGGCATCGTACTGTACATACAGCCCTGCCGGTTTCTATATTATTTGATAATCACCACTTGGAGAACTCTCTACTCACTGGCGAAGATACTAATAAGTAAAGTATAGGCCCTACCGCAAGCAAAGACACTCCATTGTTCACGTCGTATTTCTCGGTAAGGTATTGGTGCTTCACACATACGTATGTACATACTCTGTGGATTTTGTATCTGCGGACCGATTTTGAACACAGCCTGCGCATGCAGTTACATTACCGCAAGTAAGGTTAAGTAAGTCCTCTCAACAAATGAGGAGATACATACCTTTATTCGGTACTCGAGTACTCTAAGAAATATTGATTGGCACTTAGCTAGACGCCCTAATAAACTTATATCTCCGAAATTCTCGCCCTCCCTTTGAATTAAGGGTTGACCTAGTATGTAATCACCAATTAATGGATAAATCTGAACATGCGAGGTGATTGTGCAATAAGAGGGGGGAAATGTTACTGAATATTTCTTTTTTTCTTATCTCTGGAGTAATTAGGTATTGAAATAACGCCATGACCTCATATTTATCACCGGCGACTTTTATGTCTAGGAAGGGCCTCAAGTTGCAAGGCTGTCGGCATAAACTAAATTTTGTTTTTCTCTGTAACTTCTGTTGATCCCCGGTGGTGTATGTACGTTGATCACTGATCTCTACAATTTTAGGGATCGTGTATAATCAAGAGTTCATCCGAGGTGCTTTTATAGCGTATGATAAGAAGTAAAGCTGCAGCTGGTCAACCCAGCCAGGATTCTGTTCTCTGAGAACATGTAGTAGTGTAATCTTCAGCAATTTATGACCGATTAACTTTCCTAGATACTTGATATGTGTCAAGCTATTAGGTGAATGTATACAAACTACAGAGATAGGAAGTTTATACACTTCTAGTTGTATACATACGAATTTAATATTCATAGGCAAGAGGACCTGACAAACTTTGCCCAAGAGGACATCAAGGCACGCCTCCATACCTAGATCCTATGCCACCTCTGGGCTAAGGTCTTCTCCATCGAGCATGAGATATTGAATGATAAGTAATATTACGCAGCTGCAGTTATAGTAGTGAGCGTGGGAAGGAGTTTTGTGTTCTCGTGGCGTATAGATGTGATATTAATGGCTCGATCTCGAATCAAGAATGAGTAGAATCACAGCTGTATTGGTCAATCAATAGTAGGGATTTCTCGGAGCTCCGAAGACACTCAGTATTGTGTGCATATATGTTACGTAGGTACACTCTCTGGAGTAGAGTAGAGCAGTGTAAGGTCTGAAATGTATACACATATGGATTTAAAGTCCGGGTGTACATGTATTCAGCTTGTATTTAGCGCCCTCTATATACTTACGTACTAGTTCATTTATGTTCTACCTACATGTACATACCCCGGCCCCCATAGCTTACCCGAGTGACAACGTATGAAATGAAATATAACGACGTTACACACATCTCTAATACCTTAGCCGAACTTTAAAGGACATCAACAATACATTGATGCGAAATCATAGACCAAGAGCCTTATCAGGAAATCCTAATAACCTGATCAGGCTTTCCCTAGTACCTCACTAGCTACATTTAGATACATCTAAGTACATCATGTATTCAGGCTACGTTGTGGTGTATTACATTGTAAAAGATAAAACACGCTAGCAAGCAGCACTAGTCTGAAATATTGATGTTGTTGAACTGTACAAGTATGTACCTGCACTACACGTCTCTGTCGTTAACTCATTGGCCTGCATATCCTGAGGATAACTTTCATACCAACACTGGAAATATCCAACTCACCAGTACGCCTGTTAATTGTCATGACGCATTTTCAACTCAGGGCCGTGCTTTCGGATCCCAGACTTTGGAGAAACATGTTGGAGGCTATGCAAAAGTTCCCGAGTGGTTAGAACGCGACGGATTCTTTAAGGGCACTGGAACAAATGTGATCAACTTTAATGATTTTTATGGATCTACGTGTTGTGTAAAGGTACGTGGCAGAGCATGCAATTATTCCCTTTAAGCTACAATCTATTAGTACGCAAATACTAATTCCTATCGCGGCAGGAAAATGAACAATTATCACGCCATTTGGGGGGTAAAAATAAAATCTTTCTTCAAGATCATGCCAAGATATATCTGTGACCTATCAGTCACTGTCTTGTTGTTCAATAGGAACATTTCACATAATTTGGGGCAGTGTCGCTAATGACAGAGGTCACACTCAGCCCTTTATCATTGGTGATGCAGGGCACAGGTCAGGATCAAATGCGTGATATAACTAACACCTAGCTTCAAAGTTTGATACAGGAGACTCCTGTAGCTGTCATCCATATATTTATCACGGCAAGGCACCAACTGTCTTACGTCATGTCTAATATTTGGGTGTTCCTGGACATGACGCATAGTGACTGAAATTGCATTGACAATATGCGGGGGGGGTTATCAGTACCCACGTGGCTAGCCAGAGGTACAATATGTACTCCGTGCAGAGATGAGGATCCTCTATCTTGCTTGACATCTGAAA